TCCCCCACCAGCACGACCTGTTCTGTCCGTCTGATATATTTTGTACCCTGCTATTTCTGTGTCCCATTGATTATCCTCATTCCACCAAGTTTCTGTGATGCCTTTTATATCGATACCCTCATTTAATACAAGGCACCCAAGTTCACCCATCTTATTATTTAGAATTCTAGCACTGGTATATAAGCACTTTCAAAACTTGTCACTTTTTAGCTGTCTGCCATTACGTGATGTAACTGAATGGGACTTTCATTCTTTTGACTCTTCCTCATCAGATCCTACCCATATTTTATCATCTTCCATCCTCTCCTCCGTACTGGGACGTAGAGAGTCTCCATCAATAGATCCTCCCTCTGTCCGAACCACGTGCTCCTCAGTACCTGTTGGCTTCCCCCCAGCTCTTAGTTTAAAATCTGCTCTACGACCTTTTTAACCCTGCCCCCAGATTCCCCCAGCACCTCTCTGAGCACGCACCCCCATCAGCCCTAGGACCTCCCATTCCCCTACCATCCCCCTCATTGCCCCAGGCCCCACGACCCCAAGTCACCACCCAGAACACCCCTCCTCCACATCCCCAGCCCATGGACCCCCATTCCCACCCCTCCAGCCGGGGCAGCAGGGTGCAGGATCCCCCCTCACCTGGCTCTGCTCCGGGCAACCCAACCCCCAGCCCCCCGCGGGGTTGTGCGGCTCCGCGTAATACACCAGCAGCTCCACGTCTCGGTCCCACGGGGGGGCCTCAGCCAGAGACACCTGGTGGGGCGACAGACTCCGTCACTTCCCCATGGCTCCTGGGGGGCAGGGTCCCGCTGGCTCTCGCGCCCAGCTCAGTGCCCATCATGCAGCCGGGGGAGGGAGCAACTCCGGGTTAGGAGGGAAGGGAGAGAGGGAAAAACACCCCAAAGGCAACACGGGGACTTGGCTCTTCTTGCAGAAAACACTGCGAAAATTCTGACTTTGTTTGGCTAAATCTTTCCAATTTGGGGGTGATATTTTCCCAGCCCCCCCATTTTCTTTCATTCAAAATCAAGGAGAGGGAAACTCCCAGAAAGCAAAGGGAACCAGGACCCCTCGAATATCCAGGATTTCACCCCCACAGGCTGGTCTCAGCCCCTTGAGATTTCCCCCAGAGAATGCAGGCAGCTCCCCAGATCCATTGGTGTTGCTCAACCCTCTTCCCCGCCACCCGCCTTCTGGGACCCACCACCTGCCCTGCCCCAGAGCTCCCACCCCTGTATATGCCCACCTAGGACCCACGCCCAGTCCCCTGGCACCAACCCCTCAGCCCAGAGCCCCCATCACCCCCCTGCTCAGAGCTGCCCCCCCACACTGACCCTCCCACTGGGGATAGCCGAGACCCAGGTGTCCGGGTGAGCCCTTACCTGGGCGGTGGTCCGGTTCCCAGCTGTGTAGCTCAGGGGGGTGAGGGAGCAGTTGGAGAGCACGCGGTCGATGCCGTGGGGCGACTGCAGAGTGACGCTCAGGCTCAGGGTGTAGGGCAGCTCCCCCTGGGGGACTCGCGGGACCCCCTGGGTGACGTCCTCCCCGTCCCACCCTGCAGAGAGAGACACGGGGTGAGCATATGGCCCAGGCAGAGACAGATGCATCCTGGAGGCGAATGCCTGGCTGCGAAGATGGTGTCGCCAGGAGGGCTTTGGCTTCCTTGACCATGGGATGCTGTTCCAGGAAGAAGGACTGCTAAGCAGAGATGAGGTCCACCTAGCGAGGAAGGGGAAGAGCATATTTGGATACAGACTGGCTAACCTAGTGAGGAGGGCTTTAAACTAGGTTTGAAGGGGGCAGGTGACCAAAGCCCACAGTAAGTCAAGAACGTGGAGACCTGGGAGAAGTGTCGGAATTTGGGTGGAGAATGGGCTGTTATAGCAGAGATAAAGGAGAGACAAGACAGAACTGGGGTGGGGATCAAATCAGTATCTTAGATGTCTGTATACTAATGCGAGAACTATGGGGAATGTAGCGGGGTGGTTACCCTGCTCCTGCCCTGAAGGGCTTAAAACAGTCCTGGGGGAAGGTTGTGGCTGGGAGCTGCTAAGCTGGGCTGATTGGGAAGCAGCTGCAGCTGGGCCACACCCCAATCAGGCCTCAGCTGGCCCTATATAAAAAGGCTGTGCACCAAAGGCCAAGAGTCTCTCTCTGTGTTCAGAGAGAGAAGGGCCTGGCTGTAGGGAGCTAGAGACAGGGTACCTGAGGACAGGCTGGGGCGCTCCAGCCGGGAAAGCCCCAGACTGCGGCCTAGTAGAAGGCCAAGAGGTACCGGGGGTTGTAGAGGGCAGCCCAGGGCTAGGCCAAGGCAGCAGGTCCAAACCCAACCTTGCCGATGATGAGTGGCCTATACTGCAGTCTGCCCCAGGGAGTGGGGGCTAGTTGGAGACTGGCAGTGGCCTTATCCTGAGGTGAGGTAGGGATAGTGGGTGGGGGTTCCCCTGGTAGGGGAGACCCTAGTACTGAGGGGTGTACTGCCAGGGGGCAGCACCCCAGATACAAGGGCACCGGGGTCCAGGAGGGACATGGGGGCTAGAGGACAAGCAGATCACTGGCCTGCAGGGGGTGCTTCAGAATGCTGGAAGAGCTAATTCCCAGAAGTCACCAGCAGGAGGCGCCGCAGGGGTGAGTCTGCTCCTCTACAGGGAATAAGCAGGAAGAACTCGTAATGCTAGTAACTAAACACGACAATGACATCGTTGGCATCACAGAGACTTGGTGGGATAATAGGCATGACTGGAATATTGATATAGGAGGGTACAGCTTGTTCAGGAAGGACAGGCAGGGAAAAAACAGAGGTGTTGCCTTCTATATTAAAAATGTGTTTACGTGGACTGAGACTGAGCTGGAAATAGGAGACAGACTCGTTGAAAGTCTCTGGGTAAGGATAAAAGGGGTAAAAAACAAGGGTGATGTCAGGGTGGGGGTCTACTACAGACCATCTAACCAGGAAGAAGAGTTGGATGAGGCTTTTTTTAAACAACTAACAAAATCATCCAAAGCACAGGACTTGGTGGTGATGGGAGGACTTCAACTACCCAGACACCTGT